CACACACACACACACACACACACACACACACACACACACATGCATGCGTACAACTTTTGCAAATGAAACACATTTGACAATTGCACACGTCAATCAATTGGATTGGACCAACAAAATAAAGTCCAATTGGAATGGAGGCAAGTCTTCCACAAATTATGGAATAAATGATGTATTGAAGTCGTCAACGTTCGCTGCTGCTGCGGCTGCTGTTGGCCCAAATTTATTTATACAAAAACAAACAAAACAAAACAGCGACAACAACAACAACAAAATGGCAACAGTGAATAAAGCTGTTTCGCAGGTAATACTTTTTTTCTTACTTATTTTTCTTTGGAGCCCACTTCGAGCACGACTTTGTCTTGGACTTGGCATAATGTCCAGTTGTGGCCAGTTATTTTGGATTTCATTTGATTTGATTTCTTGTTGCCTTTGTTCGAGCTGAGTATCTGAGTGTATATATGTATATATAAGGCTTGCATAATGCTCACCTTTTTATACCATTGAAAATGGGAAATCTGGGTAGGCAGAAGGAGCGAGAGGGAGAAGAATTATATATATACATATATTCCGAGCGAATCGATTTAGTCATGTCAAAGAGCTGCAGACTCGTAACTGACTGTATAGCTTTGGCTAAAATCGATAACTACTCCCATGTTATTGTTATCGATTAACAATTTCATTAGCAAAATCATTTCTCATTCATCTTTATAACTAGGGTCTGCAAATTTTACATATATTCATGTGTATTTAATGTTGACTTTTTGTCTCCTTTGGAGTACCAGGCCCAAATGCATCCACTCCGATAACTTCTGCTATAAATATATTCCTCTAAATGTGCATTTGAATTCCCTGTTGCAATTCTTGATCCGAACAGGATTTACAATTCAATTAGCTCCCTCGAAGCACACGTTTCTCTATACCTGCTGCAACTGCGGCTTGTGTGTGCGTGCGTGTGCATGTTTATGCCATTTACATTGGACATAACCTCAAAGCCAACTATGTATGTCACTTGGGAAGGTAGCTTAACCCAGTCAATCAACCCCCAAAATATATGCAAAAACAGCTGATGCCACCAAATTGTTGTGTGACGCACTCGATTTGCTGTTGCTGTCGCTGTTGTTGTCGCTGTCGCTGGAGACGCTGCGTGGGTGGTGCTTGTCGAATGTTTTTGCTGCTGTTGTTGCTTGTGTTTATTCACCAACATCTTCTGGTGGCTCTTCTTGCTCTTCGGCTACAGCTATGTTGTGGCTGCGTGGCAAACAAATTTGTGCGTGGGCGAGGTTCACAGGCTGAGCCCACGCCCTGGGCTAACGACGTCATTCAACCCTCGTTTTCTCGGCTCGGCAAGCGAAAGTGGATTCGTTGAATAATCTTTGACGCCCGGCGGGTGCTCCAACTTTTGTTCAAGTATCCCCTTGCACACACACACACACACAAATACATGCACCTTCGCCTGCTCCCCCCGTTCGGCAAATGATTTTGGAAAGTGTCATAGCTCCTATGGCCCTCAAACGTCCGTCCTCAAGAGCCTCTTCAGTAGCCAAAGCGTCAACGAAACTAGTTTTTTGGCCACCTCAACTCTGCGCCGCCCCTTCGCCAACTCAACCTTCCCCTCTCGTTCTCTCTCTCTCTCTCGGTGTCTGTATTCCATTCAGTGTGTATATTGATTTCAGTTGAACATTGTGGCTCGCTGAGTGAGCTCTTTAATGTGTCAAGGAATATTGACTGAGGCACTGTAAAGAGCTCATTCAACTGATATATCGATTAATACATTAAAGCTTATCGATAAACTGCTCCATCGGCGGTTGTTAAAGAGTTTAGCTCTTTCATAGAGACAAACAAATAATCAATTGGTATAAACTTTTGGCTTTATGTACATATAATTAATAAATCGATTAAATATCGATATGTTGAGAGGTCACAAATCTGCTATGGATGTCTAAATGATAACATAAAGCGTCTAGCAGTCTATTAACAGGCTGAAAATCGAAAGGTTTTAGTTTACTATGCTTTACATTAGATTAATTGATTTATTATCGATAAGTTCATGGATAAGCATTTAACATTTAATCAATTTAATAAGTATATATGCAAATACCAGACGCATATCACAAATCATTAGAGTAATCTTTCTTTTTTGCGAATCTCCCCCCCTCAAGAACGAGCAAATTATTTATATATTTATATAACAATAAGAGTATTTTAAGAAGAAACACTTCCGCTTATGGCACAATCGCTTTCAGAGGTAATTATCGTATTCACATTTTCGCTGATATTTCATCATCAGCGTCTTCTTCTGCTTCTGCTACTTCTTTAGTATTTGTTAATCGTGCTTTATCTGGGCCATTTACGATCTATTTGGCTACGCATCGGCCGTTTCGACGTAAAAAGTTTAAGCCAAAGCTCGTAAATAAACTTGACTAAACAAATTCAACGAATACAAAAAAAAAAAACAGAAGAAGGAAAAAAAACCTTTTGCTTATCTACAAAAAATGATAAAAAAAAAAAATAACAACAAAGAAAATGAAAAAACTGCGATAAAAACTGACACAAAACACTGTCCCAGAAGTTTGGACTAAACGAAAAAAGAACAATACCCAATACTTAACAAACGCAACTTTTTAGCCAAGAAAAATCGAAGGCCTAAACGAAAATTCTGTTTGCATGGATGAAATGTTCCAAAAATTTGTTGATAACAACGACCCAAGAAAAGAATACGCGAGCTAGAGGCATTCAAAACTCAAGCAAGTTTTTTCCGAGACAATAATATGCTAGATTGTCTGACAAACTTAATGGGAAATATTTCTTGAATTGGAAAATATCTACAAATATCACATATGTACATATGTATTATCTCTAGAAATGGCACACACCGACTAAAGATACATACATATGTATATACATACAACTTTATATAACTTTGTATGTATATACATATATTTTGGCACCTATAGAATGTGTTTAAAGAAATAATAATCGAAATGATATGATATGATAAGCCTTGCAGTTCAAGTTAAATAAGACCAAAAAAGAAAAAAGAAGCGCTGATACGAGTCTCCATATGTATTGGTATCTGTTTATGTGTGTGTGTGCCTTATTGCGTTTCGTGATTCCGTTGCGCGTTTACGAAATCAGCCCATCGATAGCTGATAAAATTGCTTGACTACGCTGATGCGTGGAGAGCGCTTATCAGCAGCTTTAAAGCCGCACGAGCTGCGCCGATAAAGCGGCTCGGCTCTTCGTCTATTGTCTCTGAGCTGTTCTTCTAAGCACGACAAGGAAGAGCAAGAGAGATAGCGAGCGAGAGCTTAATGCAACTGAGGCGAAGCGAACGACCTTCACAGTCACTCTTCTTCTTCTGCTGTTATTTTCTAGTGTACTTAGAAAGAACAGCGGGGGCTGAGGCAAGCGGAGTGACGTGGGGAAAGGCGTCGTCTCAAGTGGCAATGTCGCGCTCCTTTAGCACGCTCTACGCTCTCACTCTCTCTCTCCCCCTCTCTCTTTGTCCGCCTTTTGCTCTAATTGCCGCTGTCAGAATAGTTAAAAATAGGGAGCGAGCGAGAGAGAAGGTCAGGAGCAGCGCATCTAGGAAGTTGCTGCGGAAACATAAGCACAACTAAATGAAAAGCAAAAGACAAAAGCAAAGGCAAAAGCAAAAGCAGGCAAAATGCTTATGCAAATTGGAGTTGGGCAGACGCGACGAGACGATTTTGAATAAAAACCAAATAAAACAAAACTAATGAGCAAAATGCTGCCGCTGCCGCTGCTGCTGCTGCTGTCGCTGTCGCTGCCACTGCCACTGCCATTGCCGATGATGGAACGGAAAGCGGAAAAGGCATAAAGCGAAATGCAAAACAAATTATAATGAAAAACACAAAGAAAAAACGAGCAAAAATGCAAATCTAGCAGAAAAGTTTGTCCGACTTCGACTTCGACTTCGACTGCGACGCAGACGGCGACGGCGACGGCGATAGGGACAGCAACGCAGACTAAGGGCGAAAAGGCGAATCAAGCAACAATCGTACAAAATGCACGGCAACGGCGAAATTAATGCAAAATGAAGCGAGGGGTCAGTCGGCGAAGGCGAAGGCGGCAAACGGGAACAGCTGCTTTGTGGTATTGGTGTTGCTATAGCTGTTGCTGTTGTTGTTGTTGATGTTATTTTTGTTTGTATGCGCAAAAGCAAATGCCACAAAGGGCAGGCAAAGACAGGAACAATAATAATAACAGCAACAACAACAACAACAACTACATCAACAACAGTAATAGCGGCGCAAAAGAGTGCCCAGTGCAAGTTTTTCAGCGCTTGTGTTTTGTTTGTGCATGTGTGCAGCAGTGCATGAGTGTGTGTGTGTGCATGCATGTGTGTGCAAGCTTCTACTTCACACACACACTTACAGATATCCGACTGCGCACAGAAAAATACAGAAACAAGTTTTTTAGCTCGCTACCGCTGCTGCTGCTGCTGCTGCTGCGGCGCCTGCGCAGAAGATTTCAGTTTTCAAGTAACACACACACACTCACACATACACACAAAAAGGAAAAAGACGAACAAAAATAACCAACTGACTGTTGACTGACTTTCTTTAAGCATTTTTGTGTGCTTGTCGCTCGCTGGACATGTTGCAGACGCAGTTTTCGCTTTTTTGGCAACTTTTTGAGCCGCAGCCGCAGCCGCAGCAAACAGCAAATGAACAAGAAGAAGAAGAAGAGTCAAAGAAAAATAAAAACACGTTTCGTGCTCCGGTTTCTCACTCACCTGGCAAACGGCGTCTGTTCCACCTCGTAGATCTCGTTGATGTCATGCGACACAAGTAATCCCTTCAAGCGCTCGGCATCAACGTCCAGCAGGCCATCGCCTATGGGAAAGATGCCCTCCTCGGTAAACATGTTTCAAGCTGCAGCTGCTCTCTGCTCTCTCCTCTCTCGCTCTCACTCAACTGCACACAAACACTTTTTTTTTTGCTTTTATTTAGATCTTGCGTCTTTTTTCGTTTGGGTTTTTTTTTTGCTGTTTAAGTTTTAATATGTTTCTCTTTGGGGTGGGTGGGTGTTAGGGGCGGAGAGAGGCTGTACTGTAGTTGCGGATGCGTTGAGACGACGGCGCGAAATTCAAAACTGTGACACATATAGGGAACAACAACAACATATACAATAAATAAATGTGTTTACTGACAAAACAAAACAGAACAAAAAGGAAAATAACAAAGCGCAAATTCGTTCATAATATCAGATCCGCGGCGCGCGCGCGCTTCTTTCGCAAAGTTTTGGTCACACTGTACGCAGCAGCAGCAACAGAGGCAGAGGCCGCAGCAAAACAGAAGCCGAGAAATTCCAGCGCCCTTTTGAGCTGCGCTGCCGACGTCGCAAATGCAACAGCCTGTGAGTTGAAACGTGACAGCACTAGGGATGCTATGCACTAACAACAACACTAAAAGCAACAACAACAGCGACAACAGTCACGGAAATTTCTTGGCTCTGCGTTTGCTGTTTTTGTACTTTTTCGATTTGCGTGTTTTTTTTTTGTCTTGTGTTTTATTTTCGTTTTCTTGAAATGTTAAGACCATTTAAATTTGAATTGAACGCGCGACACACGCACAACAAATTTCATACACACACACACACACACACACACACACACACACACACACGCATACATAAGCACACGCACAACACGTTTCACGTTACTTTGTCAATGCTGCTCTGGCTGTTGGCTGCTGTATCTGCAACTGTGTCAGTGTCCACATCTAGGTGTGTATACGTATACGCTCAATGCTGGTTGTGTTGGTGTATACCGTCGTGTTCTGCCAACTTCGGCAGTGGCAGCGCAGCTCACAGCAACTTCTTGTTTGCTGCTCTTTGCTTATGTGTGTGTGTTCAACTTTGCACAACAAAAAAAATTAATAAAATAACTCACATACACAAAAAAATAAACGAAGTAATTAGTTGAAATGCTGTTGCATTTAACTAATTCAATTCGCAGGCGAAATATTCCAAATTATTTTTGAAGTCGAAGCGCGGCATTAACGATAGAAAAAACAAATTGTTGTGTTGCAAGGCACATTAGATTTGTAAAATTATTTGAATTTGTGCCATAGACAAACATGCACGCACACACACATAAACAAACAAAAAAATACACGCGTGGTAATCGGTAGAGTCAGCTAGTAAACGACAGATAACAAAGTCACAAACCCAGCGCACATATAAACCAAGCGACAACGAATTCAATTCACAATTAAGCGCACCGAGCGTCACACGTCCGCCTCGTTCGGCTTTGTTATTGCTTCTGAATTATCGATGACATATGAGTTTTAATGGCGCGTATTATCGATAGAGTTAGTTAGTTAACAGCTGTTAGACCGCTGCTAGCTGGAGGTTTTATAATCGATTTAAATAAATGAATGCCAATATGCAAATACTGATGCTTTGTTTATTTAATAGTTTTAAATTAAACCATGATATTTTGCAAATAAATGATTAATATTATAAATTATCGGCCTAATAGCATACTGTTGCGCTCGAAGTGGCACTGTTATTCCTAATTCAGCTTACATTGCGATAACGATACATTTGACGACGACTGAACGAACGCATGCGTGCCAACCTGCTGCACTTTAACCGTTCGACATGCCATTTAACAACTCTGCGCTTGCAAAACAGTTGCGCGGGCCCGGCTTGAAATTCAAAAATTTAAAACCGCAAATTGAAAGGAACAAAAAATAAGGGAAAATAAATAAAAGGAGAACAAGCTGCGAACGCGCTCTTCACTTGACGGAATCTTGACACGCAATGGACATTGGGCGCTGATCTAAACATAGCAGCCGCCACTTGAGTGCTTAGGCGCCGCCTATAAATTCTTAATTTAGATATTTGCATTCGCATTATGTTTATACATATATACGCACAGATATCTGTGTATATCTATATTCATGTTTTATGCTGCATGCGCCTGTGTCTGCGTGCTCCACTTGCGTTGCATTTTCATGAGCAACCCCGCCCCCTAGCCTACTGCTACGCCGCATCCTCCTCCTCCGCCGACTAAACGATGCAAAGCAATCGTATTTGTTTTTATTTTTATTTATTTATTTTTTGTCATCTTTGCCATCGCTGCGAGGAGCAACGGCGCTGGCATCCCAGGAATGCATCTGGCCCAAAAATAGCCAACCCCAAGTGCAAAAACCTTTTCAGTCCGCCGGATTAGCCGGGCACATCAGTTAGCGTCGCCACGCACACACACGCACATACACACATATATATATATATATATAGATGCATGTAGACATATTTATATACACATATATGTGTACATATGTATGTGTATGTATGCATGTAATTATGCATTTTATTAATAGAGAGTCGCACAATTTGCAGCACCTTTGCCCGTTAGCCGGCATGTGGACACATCAATATATAAATATATAACATATATTATATATAATAGACATCAGCACATGGCTGGTGCGCTGAACTCTAAACGGATCGAACTTTGGCCGGCTATAAATAGGATGCAGTGCATCATTTGAATTGAATCGGATTGAATTGAATTGAAAATGTCGAGTCAACGGCCAATTGCCAAGTGTTGGCCAAGAGATTCGACCCAGCCGAGCACAGCCGGAATGCCACACAACAAGAACCATGGATGCCATGGAGGCCTCATTCCGCACAGTAGGTGCATTGGGGTCCATTGGCAGCGGCCTCGTCCATGCTATCGTTATCATTGCCACCGCCGCCGCCGCTGCCGCCGCCGCCGCCGCCACCCTCGCAGCTGTCGCCACTGCCGCGATAGTCCTCGATGATGTTGTGCAGCTCCTCCTGGGCATCGGTGAACTCGCACTCCTCCATGCCCTCGCCGGTGTACCAATGCAGATGGGCCTTGCGGCGCATCATCGCCGTGGAGCCATCGAGCAGACGCTGCAACAGCGTCTGAATGGCCGTCGTGTTGCCAATGAAGGTGGCGGACATCTTCAGCCCACGCGGCGGAATGTCGCAGATGGCCGTCTTGATGTTGTTCGGTATCCAGTCGACGAAGTTGTTGATATTCTTGTTGCGCACGCCGGTCATCAGCTGGTCGACCTCGCGCGGCGACATGCGGCCCCGGAAGATGCCGGCGGCGGTCAGCAGCTTGCCCTTGCGCAGATCGATGGCGCAGAGCAGATTGTTGCTGGAGAAGATCTGCTGGACCAGCTCGGCGACGGTGCCCTTGCTGAACTGCTGCTGCTTGCAGGTGACCAGCGGCGCGAAGCCCGGTATGAGGAAGTGGAGACGGGGAAAGGGCACCATGTTCACATAGATCTTGCGCAGGCCGGCGTTCAGCTGGCCGGGAAAACGCAAACAGGTGGTTATGCCCGACATGGTGAGGGCGACAATGTGATTGATGTGCTCGTGCCCGGACATCTGGATCTTCAGGTTGCGATTGCAGATCTGGAAGAGCGCCTCGTTGTCCAGGCAGAACGTCAGATGTGAGTTGTTCACCAGCGCCGGAATGCTGAGCAGCGCATTGTACGGCTCGACCACCACCTGGGACATGTTCGGCGAGGGGATGGTCACATAGTTGCTGAGCAGATTGTCCGGATACTCCTGGACCAGGGCCTCCATGATCAGGGACGTCAGGCCGGAGCCGGTACCGCCGCCAATCGAGTGCAGCAGCTGGAAGCCCTGCAGCGAGTCCACGGACTCCACCTCGCGCCGCGTATTGTCCAGCACCTGGTCGAGGATGGCCGCTCCGTCCGTGTGATAGCCGCGCGCGAAGTTGTTGCCGGCGCTCTCGGTGCCGGCCACAAAGTTCTCCGGCCTGTACAGCTGGCTGCTGGAGCTGAGCCGCTGTACGGTGCTCGCCTCCGTGTCGATGAGTATTGTACGGGCATAGAATCGCTTGCTGGCCGTTGCGTTGAAGAACACATTGATCCGCTCCAGTTGCAGCTGGCTGGTGCCACCAAAGCGACCCGACGCATAGTCCACGCCGTGCTCATGCGAGATCACATGCCAGAACTACCGGGTACGGATAGGGGTAGGGGTAGGGTTACGGCTATCACTCGTGATGGATCAGTCACGGTACTCACCGCATCGCCAATGGCATTGCCAGCGCCCCCAATCTGCAGCGTCACAATCTCACGCATCCCTCTGCTCTCTGCCCTCTGCTCTCTGCTCGCTTCGCCTTGCCCGGTCCTGCCCTGCCCTGCCCTGTCCTCTGCTGTCCTGCCGCAACTTAACCTTTACCTTGAACAATTGAATTTTGTATTTGATTTGGCCGAAAGTGCTTGTAGTTTCGTTTACTGCCTAATTTAACTCTGTCATCTGCATGCTGTGGCTGCTTCGCGGTTCATTCCACAGTCTCTCAGTGCTTCGAAAATGGAAAACAATCAATTTCAAGCGAGATTAAAAAAAACACAAAACAAATTTTCTATCAAACGAGGCCAACTGCGATCGGTGCCCACACAGACGGGACACACACCAGGCTCCTGATCAGCAATGGACATAGGCCACCATCTGGAGGGCCATCTATTGCCTGAGCTCAGCTCAGGAGAATCTCGCTTAAGCTGGTAACCCAGCGGGTTGGTTAGTTCATTCAGGAACTGAATTAGAGGGCCGAGAACAGGCGGTAGAGCTACCAAATAAAGCGTGGATGGAGTAGCTCTCTCTACTGAGCTCAGTTCAGTTCTCAGTCTCAGAGAACTTGGTAATCCCGCGGGCTGGTTAGCTCATTCAGGAACTGTTTAATAAAGCTTACTTAGAGCTGTGTAGGGGCGACAACAGGCGGTAGAGGCGCTAAATACAGTGAGAGTGGGTGAAGAAGCTCAACGAAAGGACGTTGGACAAGGTACCATAGTTGGAACAGGCATCATTAAATAAATACTAGGGGTTTACAAACTATTTATTGTTCTTATAGCTGATCATCACTGGAACTAGATGCGGGCGAAGCGACGAATTGAAATATATAAATGATCTGTTGGCTAAACTTCTTAGGGAACGCGGCTGGGAAGACAAGATTCATAAGAGGGCACGAGAAATTCGGAGAAAACGAAATGAAGACACTGATGTGTATAATGTCTTACTCAAGATCTCTCAATTAGCAAACGAATCGGTGCCCCGATGTATGGATATCTACTAGATATAGCAAATAAAACGTGAGTTTTGCTAAGTAGTTTTTATGCGCTGCACATTGTAAATGGGAATTACGGATTTTTAATTAGGTTAATGGGCTGACTTGATTTACTTCTATTAGTCCATCGCTCCGAATGAAAGCAGAGATCTCACAAGGTAAGCTGAAACTCTTACAGACTAATATTTTATTATATATTTATACTCTTATATCACCATAAAACGCATAGACGTCTCGATACCTTTCGATTAGGGCAGTGTAAACATGGCACGACAAAGGGCAAAGTACGAAATGGACACATCCTCATATGAAGCACCAATATGTGCTATTGTTTCCCTACTGCTCTTCCTTCAGTCTGCATGCTCTCTCCCTCTCACCATAGACACAACAGAAGGAATCAGCTCACAAAGAATAAAGTTTCTTTGCGACGATTCCAGCATTTCCCTACACCAGACAATTGTAAGGGTTCAGACTCGAACCCTGCAAGGAACTGATATATCAAAAGTCAGCTCAACAACCTGATCAAGAATATATACTTAAATCTAATTTTCAATGTGCATAATTTCAAATTCATATTTGCTTCAGTATTCTGCAATATTTAATGTAATAATAATCTCATAACTCAGTATAGCTCTTGGGCAATGTTTTTTAAGATTGATGGCGCGAACTCAAGACATTATGTATCTGACGCGCCAGCTCCAAGTGCACGCTGCGAGGTATCGATGTGTTCGCAAAAGCTAGGACATCGAGGTAGACATCAGTGTCCTCATCATGACTCTCCCGAATTTCTTGTGCCCTCTTACAAACGCCCTCCGTCCAGCCAGATTCCCAGAGAAGTTTATCCAACAGTTCAAATATATACTTCACTTCGTCCGGAGTTAGGATTTCTTCGATTTTAATTCTCTTGTTGCTGGCATTGGCTCCGCCATTTCCATCGGTGTTGCCTCCATTGATGCTGGCTCCATCATTGTTGCCGATTTCATTGATGCCGTTGTTGTTTTCCATGATTTTATAAATAATTTTTTCAAATTATTAATTTTGTACTCATTCATTCAATGACATGAACGATATGAAAGTAAATTCTCCACATTTCATGTGACGTATGTGAACTGTCAAAGTGATTAGAATTGCAAGGCTTGCTGAGTTTCACAAATATGATTTGACGAAACGTTATTTTAAATGTTGTAAAACTTGGGCTTATATCAAATCGAAACTATTGAATACACACGAGCATATGTATATTCAAAATTTGGAGACTCTAGTTCTATAGATGTAGAAGACATGCTCTTATTACTGATTTTCGCTCAGGTTCTTAGTCAATAATCAAATAATGGGAGCAGTTACCTCTTTCTGGCAACAAACTCGATCTGCGCGAGTAACGCACGGACCTAGCTCAAAATATTTCAAGTCTCTATCTCTTATATCCTTTGAGATCGACCAATCTGCTCCTCTCTCTTTCTTACCTATGCTACTTTGTAGCAACACACAATTTATAGGAAGTAGGGAAGGGGTATTTGCAGAGTAAGCTAAATACTTTTAGCTACTTTAACTGTATATTAATATATTTCAGGCTTTAAGCTCCTTCTGCTTCTATCACATGTTAGGGGAAGGTCAAAGGCAACCCAAATATGGGCAAATTCGTATTAGCGCTTCAGATGTCAGAGCTGCGGAATGAGTTTCCATAATTTTGCAGTGCAGCAGTTGGTCTATATGCATATTTCAGTCTCAGTCTCAACACATAATGGCAATACGATTCATTCACAGCTATGCATGGGATTCCGTTCCCGTTGAACAACTCTATAGCAGATAGTGTTCCTCTCAGCAGCTACAAAGAAACATAGGTATTAAGATTACTGTATTTACTAACATTAATTTAATGAGAATGAATTAAAAAAAAAAAAAAATAAACACATTAAAGTCGTTTGAAAGCAGCAAATATTTTAGACAATCAGCGATTGGGTGGATGACGGCGGCATTGGCGGCGGCGTCGTCGGCGGCGACTCTAGAAGCTACTTGTCCTTCTTGTCGGCTGCGAGCGAGTTGTACAGACGATTCACCTCGTTGGCCACCAGATTCTCGAGAATGATGCCGTTGGTGTCGATGAAGGCGGCACACGACTTGGTGCTCGTCTGTTCACGCTGGCCACGCCCATCTCGCACACACAGTGTCAGCATGTATTTGTCATCAAATTTCTTCATATCGGAGCTCGCCTCCCAGGTTCGTGATATCTTGCTGCCGGCATCCTTCTGGACGGCCACAACAAAGGTGCCCTTCTCTCGGAGCGAGGTGTGGAGCGTTAGGACGCCCATGAGCGCGAAATAGGCCAGCACACTGAATAGGAGCACCGGCTTGGACTGCGGAAACGGATGGGTGAAGTCCCAGGCGTGGGCCATTATAGCAACGCCAACCGCCAGAGCGCAGAGCACGAGTCGCGTGTTGACCAAGCCGAATTGTTCCTTCAGGTGGGGACGATCACCAAGAAGGCAGGTCTTCACCGCATCATCCAGAGCATGTTTCACTGCAGAGCCGTCCCACTTGTTCACCTTAACCAGCTGCAAATAATTTATATTTTGCATTAGACACGGCTGGCGACTGACGTGTTCAATAGATTGAGGCCCAGATGCGAGCCGGTAAACGCTGTTCTTAAGTTACCTCCTCGGCGGGCTGTGTTTTGTCGTCCTTCTTGGTCATGGTGCTTTCTTTATTTAAATCAATTCCTATTTATCTTGCCTGGCAAGAATGAAATAAATAATAACAAAACAATTTGTATTAACAATTTGACAACGCGACAGATATTCTGTTTTCTGCAGCGTGACCGTATAGCCGAATGTATTTTTTATGCGTGGCTTTTTCATATTTGGTATTTTATATTCTGTGAAATGCACATTTTCTCATCGATAACAACTCAGTTTATTTGGAAGTTGTATTCTAAAATTTGTTTTCAATTGACTATTTATACCTGTTCAGCATTGTATAGTTAGTGCATAAAGCTAAGAAAATTGTGTTTCTTAATATTTAAATTTTTAGTATTTTATACTGCTTCTGCCAAGCAGTTCGGTTAGCTGTTCTGGTTAGTGCTAGCACTTATTATCGATAACAATTGCAGTTCGTTTCGAATTTTTATTTTTCAAGCTTTAAATATCGTCGGTTGTAAAAAAAAGTGTAAATATATTAATATATTTATAAATAACAGAGTATGGAGTATGGAATTAGTTTTGTTACATCGACTTCATTTGTGCCATTAGCTCCTCCAAGCTCGTCTCTGGCACACCCGCGTTCGCAACAGTTGCATTTTCCGACTGGTTGACGTCCACTTTGTCGGGCGCTTCGTAGGCCAGCCGCAAGCCGGACGCTACATTCGTTGTCTTCGTCGTCTGTTGCTCCTCCACTGGCGCATCCTCGGCCACAAGCTCAATGCCCCAATCGTTGCTGGCGTGCAACGGTTCATTGGACACCACCTCATCTACCTGCTGCTCCTTTGGCTGAGGACGTGCCTGGAACTCTTTCTGACGTTTCAAACAATACCGATCGTCGCACTCGGCATTTGGCTTTAGCGTCATCTTGGGAAAAAAGTCGTTCAGGGCATTGTAGCCCAGGTAATCGGAGACCTCGCCGAAATTGAGCAAATATTTGAGCGCATTCTGGACCAGGAATCCCGCCGTAATGCCCATCGTCGTGGGCAGCGAGGCGGCACAGACACCCTCGCGCTTCAAGGTACGCTCATCAATGTTCTCGGCGACCACCAATGGAGGGGCACACGCAAAGCAGGCTGTCTCGCCGGGACGTATGAATTGTATGTGGCCGGAGACGGCATTTTCCGATACTCCAGACTCAAACCAATTCAAATTGTTCTCATTGCAGGCTGCATTGATGGCCATGCGAGCCTCAAAGTTGTCGACGCAGCTGAGCACCAGATCGACGGGCTGGCCCTTCTGCATGCCGGACTCTGAGATGGTGGTCAGGAACTTATCAAAGTTGTCGACGGTGGTAATATTATAGTTGTGCGTCTCAATGAGAACGTCGGGATTGATGAAGCTCAGGGTGCGCGCTGCCGCCTCCACCTTGGACAGGCCGGCCTGGTCGGGCGTAAAGAACAGTCGGTTCATATTGGCCAGTTCCACCTTGTCGTAGTCGAAGAGAATCAGCTTGCCAATGCCACAGCTGTTAACGGAAATGTTACTTCTTGTTGCCCTAGCTAAATTTGCATTTGCCTTTCGCTTACCGTGTCAACATATCGGCTGTTACGCTGCCCACGCCTCCGACGCCCACAATCGCCACCGCCTTATCGCGTATGCGCTCATAGTCCTTGACAATGTTCATGCGCTGCAGCGCCATGAGACGGCTATAGGGATTGGAGTCAACAACTTCGGCGGACATACGCTCGATGCGTTCGCGTGCAATGCGCGTTGAAGCCTTTTGCTCCTCAAGCTCTGTTTTCAGCGCGGCAATGATTGCCTGCAGTTCATCAATGGCGGCGGACATCTTCGGAACGGAATGGAATGGACTCCACAAAAAAGAAAACAAAACTAACGGCTAGCCCCAAAATCCTAATAACAATTGAGGGCTGTCGTCGTGTCACTTTCGCTGGAACAGCTGTGCGGCGTTGCCAGATGTCTTGCACATCTAACAATTGCCATCGATAACGCTAACGCCTTAGAGCTGGGCTTCAGGCACGAAGCACGAAATATGTAGAAATATTATTTCGGAACATGAAATTTTTGCCCAAGCAACGGTAAAATCAATCTCTCTATCTCTGCTATACTCTCGATTGCCTCTGATTATTTCTTTTATTTAATTAAATTGGTAGCTTTAATGTGGAACTGTAATTAATATCTGTCTACTCTCACTTTTCTCTGTTTCTGTTATCATTAACAGAAATCACGCATTCAAGTTTAGCTTGTGCGCATCTCTAACGAACGAAGTGCTGCCCATGCCCACAAATAAGACTACCGCGAAATTCGAAAATATTACACCAAATATATTGTCAAAACATTACACATATTATTATTAAATACACAAAAAAAAGGATATAATTAATATTTGTTGCTGTTTGAGTGTGTTGTGTGTCTGTGTCTGTCTGTGTATGTGTGTGTGTGTGGTTTTTTGTTAAATGTTAAATGCAGCGCTTGAAGGTTGCCACGATAAACAAATTGTTATCAAATATCCATAAAAATACATAATCCATTCGTTGTATTTGTGTTTGTGTCTGTGTGTTTGTCTGTGTGCATTGTTATTTGTATTCTGCCTGTATTATGTATGTATGTATGTATGTATGTAGTATTACTGTATAGACCGGGACTATCACTTGCAAGAAAATATATGCATAAGTTTATGATGCTGCCGTGCTGCCAGTTGTGGTCGCCTGTCCCGGCTGTCGGGGCTGTAGGCGGATTCGAAAGCCCTCCTCCCGCTTCAGTATGATGTCCGCCTGCAGCCTGAAGTCCGATTCGCTGAGGTCCGAATAGACACGATAGTTGCGCATGATGGTCGACAGCAGGATCTTCAGCTTCAGCATGGCATATTTTCGACCTGGGCAAATATACATACATATATGGGAGGGGGAGGGGGGGAATCAGTAAATGAGAATGGATGCAAGGACTCGTATGGCACTCACCCACGCAGCTGCGCGGTCCCGCTGAGAAGGGCACAAAGGCATAATAGTGTCGATTCGCCTGGCGCTCGGGCAGAAAGTTGTCCGGATCGAAAACATTGGGATTGGCGTAGACCTTGGGATTGCGGTGCAACAGAATGGTGGCCACGGTCACTGTAGCGCCACGCGGTATGACATAGGGTCCAGAGTTCAGCTGCAGATCCTCCTGGAGCTCGCGAGCGATGAGCGGCACTGGCGGAAACATGCGCAGCGTTTCCATCAGGCAGCGTTCCAGATATTTCATTTCCAGCGTATCCTGAAACGTGGCCGGTCGCTGCGAGTCCCCAAAGATGCCGTCCAATTCGGCAATCACGCGATCCTGGATGTTCTGATGTATGCCCATTAGCGATAGGAAGAACGAAGATCCGGCTGCCGTAGTGTCATGCCCCTCGAACATGATCGTGTCCACCTGCTCCTTGATCTCGGTGTCCGTGATGAGTGCTCCATTCTGGGCGCTCTCCAGCATTAGGTCGAGGAAGGCCAGGCGCTTCTTCTCGCCAATGTCGTTGTCCTCCACGTCCAGGTCGTCTTTGAGGCCCGCCGACTGGCCGTAGGAGAGGCCAGCAACAGGAGCGCTCTGCTCCTGCCTGGGCTGGGTCCCCGCCGCCGTCTGCTTCTCCCGCTGTTCGCGCAGCTCGCGCTCCTCCTGCTCGAGGGCGGCGGCCTTCAGCTCGCTTTGGGCCAGAGAGCCGCGCGTGCCCTGCTCGAAGGCCGCCTTCTTGCTGCGTATGACCTTAGTGGTGAGGCCGTGGATGATGTTCAGCAGTCGGCCCTGCTCCTTGTAGTAGCGGGTCAGCGTGAAGATGAACTCGTTGCGCAGGAAGATGCTGCGATGCCGGGCATGAAGTATATCGCACATCCTCATCACGGCCATGGCGTACTCGAATCCGGACTTGTCTTGCGTCTTCTTCGATACGCCCATTGCGGTCTCTGTGCGCCGGTGGAAGAGAGACGGAAGAGGATGAGCATGAGCATGAGCATGAGATGAGTTCGAGAAGTGGAATGCACTCGACTGACCCAAGCGCCAATTGAACTTAACAAACATACAACGGACCACTCTGCCGCTTGACTAATTGTAGATACAATGCATAAATAGCAATCGTTTTAGATGTGCAACATATGTGCACACACACACACACACACATGCATTCTATGTCTGTCTATATGTTGATAGCTGGCCAACGGGTCGTATGAGAATTTCTTTCTTTTTATTAATATAGTGAACTTATTATGATATATTAATATATATAATATAATAAATAATAGTATACGATATAATACTTCATATATTTCCGATAGTAAATCAAATATTCGCATAAATTCCATGTTGTACTTTACTCTTAATATCAAATCTCAAAGCTGTCTCCATATAGATTTGCATATATTGATAGGCATTCAGTAAGGGAAAAAATGGGTAGGTAGGACTGGCAGTAATAAGCTAACAAGGGTAGGTTCATTAATATTATAAAGCCTATGTCTAGACTGAAGACAAAGTGAGAAGAAGATAGTATAAATTTCTATTCTGTGAGCTGAATATTTTAGAAAACTATCGCTCGTCTTGATTTATACTAAATATCATATATTATATATATATATTATATATATGGAGATTTTTCTGTATAGTTGATTTCTCAAACAGAACTCGTTGCATTTCTCTCACTCACTCTCACTTTATATAATATATACATGTGTGTCTATATTTTAATATATGTATCAGTTTCAGAATCGTCTCACATGAATTATGCATATATCAAGTAAATGGACTAGATATAAGTGGAATTTTTATAAAGCGAAAGGCGAATCAATATTGATCACATCGTTCGTTTATTCACATTATTTCAAGTCTGGTTATATAAGCTCGGGTCTCCTACAAACTAAGGGCAGTGAAACTGCAACTTCTCTAGTTACAGAGTTAGGATCAGCTAGATTTGACTTTCTCTATCAACTAGGGCTATAATTTTTGTGGTTTGTCATTTAGGATTATCATTTAAGTATGCTAGAATTGATGATTAAAATAGTCAATTGCAATAGGCTATTAAGAACGATTGAGTTCTTTGAGTTGTGTGCTTAGAAATTCCAAATATTATCTAGATTTTAAGCAAGGTATCGAGAATTTTGGAATATATATCAATATATATTTGGAATATATATCTACAATTTTATTATATTTTTGCAAATTAGTAGAGTATGTTAACTGAAATATCATTTGTAAAAATATTCCATTTCCATTTATCTTGGACTGTTGACACAAGTAAACATTTCAATTTTCGACTCTCTGGCACAGGTTTCTGGGACAGCGAAATCTATTTTATTTTTCGATTTTTCGAAATGTTTAACGGACCTTGCACTAAACCAATATACCCAATTCACTTTCGTGAATGAGTGCATATATTTATTGAAGTTTTTCTTTGAAAATTCATGTTAACATATTCAGAGAATATTTTTTCTTATCAATTAATCAAGAACAAAATATATTTACATATTTTTCCGAGTATTTCCATCAATGAATTATTCAATATATTTTTTTAAAGCAAGAAAATCAACAATATTTGCATATATTTATTTGCATTGAGCATGCGTGACAATTAATTAACTAATTAATTAATTCCCTCAAATTAATATACAAATATTTTAATCGTAAACCAAGTTATATAGACTCTATCTTTTAAGTGGTTTCTATAGAGTATGAATAATATATGAGCCAATTGCATTATTCTGAGATATTGGTAGCAATAGTATTTCCTTCAAATGTGTGCTCAGAAATAAGTATTAGATATTATCTGGAATTTCGACGGCTAAAGAATCTAAACTTTTGAGTTTGGCAAAATTAAAAAAAAAGAAAAAAATATTTATATATGATATATAAAAATTGCTCATAAATCATAGATCAATAGCTTTTAAGAATCTACAACTATATTGAAATATTTGTACATCTAGTTTATATTTTATATATATATATATATATATCTATTATACTTATTTTACATACAAATGAATTTCAATTGAATCAATATGAAATTTCAAATTCTAAAAAATTTCATCCATATTTCAATTCAGCTCAAACTGCCAACGGACAGCAGGACAGATCGTCAAATCCGTCTCAATGTTTTCTAGCCATTTTTAGCTTTTTTCTAGCCTTATCAAGACGAACTGGCTGCATTCAGTTTTGGCCAAATTGCGTATTGGCCTGAACGATATTTCTTCCGCCAAAATTGTTGCGTGTGAAATTTGAAATTGGCATTGCGCAAGCGCCAGTGGCAGCGCCAGCGTGGAAATGCTGGTTTTCCACATGCCATTTTCAGCATTTCACTTGCTGGCCCACTGGCCAGCCGGCCAGGCAGGCTGGTGAAAACGAGTTGCACCTGTTGCAGCTCCTTGTGATGATTATGCAATCATAGAAAATGACATTTGAATTTGGATTTGCTTTCGATCTGCTGTTCGCCTGATGCATCATATAAAATCGTATATACATATGTATGTATGTATGTATATATATTCAAGAAAACAGTTGAAAGAAGCAGAGAACAACAACAACAACAACAACAAATAATTTGCACACTTTATCAATTTTTTCTAATTTTTATTTTCACTCTTAATTGCTAATTGCTTGTTTGCGTCAGCCCAGGCCTAGGTCTGAGCCCGGGTCTGAGCCCGAGTCTGGGTCCGTGTCTGGGTCTGCGGTCTGGGGCCTGGGCTCGTTTGCGATCTGCAGTTGCATTCAAATTTTCCTGATTAAGCGCTTAATGGGAATGCGACGTGCCTTTAATTGTTGCTGGCAATTTGCAGTGCGATGCGCACTTTTGGCAGCACTTCAATTATGGGCGAAGGTAAGCGCGTCTGCAACGTTATGCAACGGCCTAGAAATCAATCGGGCTGGCATTACTAGCGCACCGACATAGATAAAGGCAATTTAGCATACATATATACATATATGTATGTATGTATGTCTTGGTATATCGATGTCTATATATACATATGTTTAGGCGGCAATGTCATTAACATGTTTACGCCCGAGCCTGGCCAACTGCCAGAGCCAGAGTGGACGCAGAGCAATCGGCGGCTTCAGCGGCTTCAGCGGTTTCAGCTGTTTTCACTTTTAGGCCAAAACGTGTTTGGCCTTAAATAAACGACAGGCACTGTGGGGTGGCACAGTTAGTTAGCCATTGGCTCGAATGCCGCCCGTTAATAGCCAATTGCATTCATGATGCAATCCCACTCTCGCCTCGAGAAGCCTTCGAGCAGCACCAAGTGAAAGTCGCCATGGAAACAAGGTGAAGGAGATTTCCTACTGAAACGTAAGCTTATGTTTTTTTTTTACCTATCTCAAAATTAAGTTGCGAAATCAAAGCACAAATTCAGGACATTTAAATATGATGATAATATTAAATAAAAATAATATTAGCACTACAAAAATGCAATTTGGAAAATAAATTTAATTATAATAAATATGAGATTTGATAGGTTAAATAAAATTTGATATTGATATACTAAATAAATAAATAAAAATATGTATTAAAAAAAAAAAAGAAAATAAAATAAAGAAAGCTCTAGCAGAGGGTGGTGATCCACTTAAGCCCTGATATCCCCTGAAACCTTTTGCTGCACTCCTATTCCCATACACATAACATATACATGACAGACATAAGCACGCGCTCTGCTCACTGCGCAGCGACTGCGCTTGGACTGCATTTTAGGATCTGTTATGAAGAGAGAATTATCTGACTAAATTATGTTTCAAAAGGAATTCTCTAAGCCAACTTTACAAAATGGAATAATTACGTTATATATGTGTATATCATAGCCACAAATCTACAAAATTGTAATAGGCTATTTTGCAGATTCGGAGCCAACAGGAGGATTTGGGATCACTATCCAAAATATAAAAAAAATCGAAATTGCATAAATTCGACATGAATCTAAATGCAAAACTTGATAAGTATAGATCCAAAGATTAAGGAGGATCAATTTTCTTTTTTCTTTTTTATAAGGTTCTTAATCGATAACACTAAAACTGCACAAGTTATCGATTTTTTAAAAACAAACTCAATATGCTAGTGCCATGCAGGAACCTACAAAAAAAATTCGAATCTCTAGCTCTTATAGATTCCGACATATGGACAGACGGACTAACAGCCGACAGGACTAAATCGGCTCAGCTCGTCGCCCTGATCAGGATTATATGTATGTATAAGCTTGCCACGCCTACTTCTGTCTGTTGCACACATTTTAATAAGACCAATATACGCCAATATTCCATGGGTTCAGGGTATACCCAATTTAAAAGTCGTTAAATTGTTAAAAATTGTTAAAAATCTTTTTGCACATTTTAAATTTTCATCAATTTTTTTTTACTTTATAGATGATTTATGTATGATTAGTCCTGCTATGCCCATAGAGATATGTACATACATATGTCTATATATTGCGAGGCTTGTGCAAATCGGTGTACGCCAGTTTGCGGCGGATAATTATTTTAACTATACGATTTAGCAGTAGCCGTTGGGGTATATATGTACATATATATATATGTATATATGTATATGGCATATGTAGTTGTATTTGATATAATTCGGTCTCGGGTCATCTCCATCTCTCTCTAACTAGCTATCTCTCTCTACACAGACAAAAGCGGCAAATGGATAACAGCGACAAAGAGAACAAAATTTTGATTTGTGCGAGTATATGGGGAAATAGGTCTGTGCTCAATTGTAGCATATATACACACATGTGTAGGTGTCTATATGTACCTGACAGAGACATACGTATGCATACATTGTGTGTCTCTGTGTGTGTACGCACTAGAGAAAAAAAAGCGAATCGAAATTTGAATGTGAAACTGTAGACAAATCCATGGAATGAGTGCGTGTGAGTGGACTGTACCGTTTAACTAAGTATATGAGTGTATCTCAGTGTGTGTGTGTGTTAGTGTGTGTGTCACTTACCCAATAGAATCTCCACAGTTGCCTCACTCATGTAATCATGACAATCAAATGTGCGTCCATCCTCCGCACGCAGCTTCCGCACCACATTGCGCGAGTTCTCGTTAAACAATTCAATGAAACTCTTTAAGACATTCAAATGGAATGTGGGTGCGATTAGTTTGCGATGAGCCCGCCATTTTTGACCTGAAAAACGAGCACGATAAGTAGCAAGAGAAGAAGAGCAGAGCTTAAAGGATTGATCTAAGTGAACTTGATACATATATATCTTTAATCTTAAAGTACAATGAGAAAGGAAAAGGCTTAGCTAAATCTGATTTATATATAGAGAATTCGAAAATTCGAGATTGATGTAGAGGGATTGTTGCAAGGCACACGTTCAATTCGATCAGCATATGGATGAATATGACAGAGATCTAAACGTGAAAGATTGTGATAAAGTTAGAGTGAGAAAGAGAAAGAGAGTTGTCGCAGAAGCCAGTTTAGTTAGAGTTAGATAGGGATGACAATTGCACATCGGATCTTTCAGATCTCCCTCTCCTCCTCTCTCTGTCTTTCTATGTCTCTCTCTCTTTCTCTCTCTTTCTATGTGTGCTGTTCTTTGTTTCGTTTATTTATAGCCGCAATTTGTGCGGCGTTGTTGTGCCAACTGTCAGGCTTACAAATCGTTTTATTAATTTATGATTCCATAAACGCAATTTAAATTGCATTAGCTAGTCGACAAAGAGTGAGAGAGAGAGAGAGAGAGGGCAAATCAAGCCAGCCCCTTCCTCTTAGCACACACACACACACACACAGACACACACATGGACTCACCTGTGCTGATTAGGAGGCCATCGCCCAGCCAGGGCTTGAAGAACTTGTACTCGGATGCCTTGTCGATGTACACGTGGCTGCTCAGGAGCAGCTCGACGTCGCGCGGATCGTAGATGAAGACGACCAGCTTGGGCCCGATCCACATTTTGGCGATGTGCTCGAAGGGGGTGCTCTTGCGAATGACTGTTTTGAAAACAGCTGTAAATACAGGACACGGTAAACAGGATACAGGCTAGAGAACTGTGGCAGCTGCTGCTGCTGCTGTGGATTGCATTAAACCTACACGAAGCGGGCCCGATCACATCGAACAGATGCCCAACGATGGGCAGGCCACGCGGTCCCGGCAGCCGGGCCGCCAGCTTGTAGAGATGGGCGCGAGAGAGTCGCCAGTAGATGTACCAGAGCACCAGGGTGGGCAGCAGCAGCAGGTAGAAGACGCTGCTGGGCGAGCCCACAGCGGCATCTTTCTTCAGCACCTCCATTGAGGTGGAGCACACACTCTCAACTAGCTAGCTAGCGACACGGCCAGCGACACGGGCAAACGCAAAAAAAAATAAATCACACACAGAACAAAAAAAAAAAAAAAATAATAATAATAATAATATAAAAAAATAAATAAATGAAGGCACGCACACCCGGGATGCGAGACGCCACGGCGGGCACACTGAGCACTGAGCACTGAGCACTGAGCGTAGGCGGAGACGAACTCAAGCGCGGAGCTTAAAACATATTCTTTTTTTCCTCTTTTTACTGCGCGCGATTTATTTATTTTTTTTTTTTTCGCTATTATTTTTTGGTTTTTTCTGTTATTTATTTTGTATCTCTTGTTTTGTTCCGGATGCTGCGGATGCTCGTCGCTGCCTGTCCGCCGCGATACTGAGACAATTGCCAGCCAGGCGTCGAGCAGCACAGCAAAAAAATATTAGCACTAGCCACAATAATAATAATAATAATAATAATAATAGTAATGATAATAACAGTAATAACAACTCGACCAATATTATTTACAGAAAGCAAAGCAAGGCGAAACAAAATTCGTATGCAGAGTTAAAAAAAAAAAAATGTAGAAATGAAATGGAATGGGAAACGCTCGCCCGACGTTGCACGCTCCACGCTCCGCGCTGTGACTAGTGGCTGGTGACTAGCCGCCGCCGGCAGTGCGCCCGACTTTTATAGCCAACAATGTGGCAAGCGGCGGGCGCATTGGCGCATTGGCGAATTGGCGAACCGCATTGACGCATTGCCGAACTGACTGAGTGACCAACTGGCGCCGATCGACAGCCAGGCAGCCGGACGTGCAGTCTTTATCAATTTCATTCATTCAAATTGTGGCGCGCATCGCCCCGTCTCACTCGCACACAAGTAAAAGCGCCGCAGTCGAGCCTCACCGACTGCCGAATACCCATTCACAGCTGCTGTGGAAGTACAGTATATGGTATATATATGGTATATAAATACAATGCAGTATGTATATACAGTAGAATCCAGTTATAACGACGCTCAAGGAACCGTCGCTACAGCCGGAAGACGCTTTAACCTTACAGACACTATAGCGTAGTCGCTATAACCGGATTCTACTGTACATATATATGTTAAGCTCTCCCACACTAGAGCACTAGAGATTGGGGACGCTTGTGAATATGAACAACTTTGTGTTCAATGAAATGATATATTTTATATAATTTAGTAACTAAAGATCTAAACTCTCTCTAGTCCCAATATAAACTGGCCAAAATCAGTTCTACTGATTGGGTTCTCTCCTTGAATATCTGACTGCACTCTCCAGCCTCTTTAGATTGTCGTTAGTCTTAACTTATGTGTATATACCCATATATATACCATTTTCTTAGTGCAAATCGATAGAAAAGTCGCTAAATTATGAACATTTTCTAGCTTCAAAATGGTGAGAAATACAGTTTTACCTTATTTTCCACATGCCTAATTTATATATAGATGTATATATCCGCCTTACCTTTTTGAATTACGTTTTTCAACTCGAGTATATATTCCAACTGCATCTGCTATGGTTTCTGAATAATCGTACTTGCATGATTATTATCCGGATTTCCTTAACTGAAACGTTAATATCTTGATAGTTCATCATTCGAATATTTCCGTATTTACAATATTAATATTGCATCGGGAAAGTCTTAATCATTCATAATTCGAGTATATATTTTTTTAATTTCCATCTCTCTAGCTTCAATAGCAACGAAATGGCTTACAGACAGCAGCACAAGACTTACTGACCAACAGACAGACGGCCGTACAGCAAGACACAAAACCAATATGCTCATTTCAGCCGCCCGAATGAGCATAGTAAAAGCTCGGCTACCCATTTCCCAAAAGCTTCATTCAAAGGCAGTTTCAGTCTCAGTTTCAGTCTCTCTCTCTGTCCCTGTCTCAGTAACTCTCTCCGTCTCTGTCTCAGTCTCAGTTTCAGCTGCAGTTGCTCAGAGTTGATTTGCGCTTAGTTTAAGTCTTTTTTATTTTGTTTATTTTGATTTGGACATTTATGCATGATTATTTTTAGTACTTGTTACCTAAAGCTAAACAAAAAAAAAAAAAATTATTTATATTTATGTATATATCTATATATAGATATTCCATCACTTTTTGCCATAATAAGTAAAAGCGAGGCGCGATCAATAAGTTGTCATTTGCCGAGACTAGAAAGTGCTCTATTCTGAGGACCCTATGCTTGCAGTTCAGATGTGAAGCAATAATTCCCTTTAAATAAAAAACTCACATGTTATATGAACTAGTTGAAATTCATATGAAATCACGTAGAAGTAATTTAGTTGGACTTGTGTGGCTAGAAAACAGAACGTACTGAAATAGTGTCCAATATTAGGGAAAATTATCTATAAACTATCGAAAATGAACTAAATGCATGTAATGTATTGTGCTTTACTTCTTTATCGTCTTTGAATTAAGCTTAAGGAACCCTGTGAAACTATCGATTTTTATCGATAATGTGAAAACTTGAGCAGCAATCGCAATAGGACCTTGACACACAAACACAGATGGCAGTGTCCAGCTATGAGCATATGTAAGGGCTACATATTGAGGGCTCGAGGTGGAGCGACCAAGATTAGGGCAGCTCTGGTAGTACGAAGTTTTACTTGTAAAATCAAGCAAATAACGCTCAGCATATTTAGATTAAGAAGATAGAACTGTATTCCTTAAGTACCCAGTTCGTCTATAAACTCAATTCAACTGGGAAATTTGCGAATTTTTACAACTCTCTAGGGAAACAAAGATGTCTCTTTTAAGCTACCCTCGGAAGTTTCGCTTGACATTATGGTAACTGCTTATTGATCGGCCCTCGTTTATAGATGTGACCACAGTACGTATGAGCAATACTATTGCCCAGACATTTACAATTAATTAGATTTAGAAATTAGCTTATGGAAGTCGTTGGCTGGACATCACTGGACCACAGGGGCACAGAGCTCACTGATAGCAGCCCATTGATAGAGATACAACTAAACACACGCACACAGTCGCACACTCACTCACACTCACACACACACTCACTCACACACACAGATACATGAACAGTAAATGGAAGCATAACAACAACTATATAGAGACATTATGCAAAGCCTAACTAAATACAATGATCTCTCTCTCTCTCTCTTTCTTTCTCTCCCTCTCTAACATATGATATTTGTTGGGTTGTGATGTGCCTAGGTCTAAAAGTATGCTACAGTACTAGGTGCTATCGATGTTGATAATGCGCTTAGACGGACGACTCGTAGATGACGATTTGCAGCACCTTCGGCTTGCTGTTCTGCGCCTCCTTCACCTCCTTCAGTATGGCATTCGTGATGGCCTCCAGTGCGGCAATGTCCGAATTGTGCTCGCTCTTCTTGTTGCTATTCCACTTGGGCATGGAGACCTGCTGGCACATTATATCATTTATTATTCAGCACCGTCCGAGTGCGCATTAGCAGTAGCTGTAGCTGTAGCTGCTCACTTCACTTACAGTTAAAACTTTTTGCAGAGTGGTGTAGTCCAGGCCCGTGCCCGCCGTTTCGCCCAGGCGACGCAGTGTCTCCGCCATTGGACCCGATAGCTCCTGAAAGGCAAGGTGGGGCCTGAGTGCCAGTTGTGGGGGAGGGAGAGCAGGAGGTGCACACTTACCTGCAGCTTGGCCCAGCTGGTCGCGTACTGGCGACGCACCAGCTCAATAATGGTCGAGGTGAGCGCCAGTCCAATCAGTATATAAAGGGTGCACAGCAGCATATAGTTGGGTTTCTCTGAGAGAGAGAGATAGAGAGTTCGATTAGCTGTGAAAATGCATTGATTGCGACTAACGTACTGGGCACCAGATCGCCAAATCCGATCGTTGTCATTGTTATGAAGCAAAAGTAGAAGCCATCAAAGAACGTCCAGTCATCCTCCCAGAGCAGCAAGAGCCCGGCGCCAGCTGCCAGATAAACGCCCAGAAATCCAACGGCCAGAATGGCATAGAACCAGGTCTTTCCGATGAAGTTTGTGAACTTTGGTTTCGCTGCAATCGATAATAATCGCTAGCGTCATGGTCATCGATATACTGGGAGGGACTGCACTTACTTGGCATGTGCTTGCCAAAGACGGACACAGCGCTGGCAAAGAGTCGACCCCAGTCGGCGATGACGGTCAGCGTGAAGGGTATGCCGATGAGGGCGAAACAAATGCAAAAGACACGACCGCTCGTCGTCACGGGCACTATATTGCCATAGCCTGTAAGAGAGAGGGAGAGAGAGAGAGAGATGAGGAAATAAAGAGTGAGCGATTAAATTATTCTACTGGAAGATGGAATAGGGAAGATTTGACATTTCTACTAAAACTCCTTATTTCATTGTTATATTCACAGCTATATAAAAGTGGATTATTATTGTAATCATATAAAATATGCAGCTAATAGGAAAACCTTTGTACACTTAAAAAACTATTCAAATATTTGTACTGGAAAATGTTTCTGTAAAAAAAAAATAAATAAAAACTCTATATATCATTTTGATATCCATAACTGTATAAAACAAAAAAATATATTTTTTACAATAAATTAATGATGATATACACCAGAATTAATTAAAATGAAAAAAAAAAAAAAAACATAGAAAAAACCAATAAAGTCATCAGAGTTGCTTGCGAAGGTGCCACAGCCCAGCCACACCCTCTGCCCCTCATTCCTTCCACGATATAGTTGATTTTAATTAAAATAATATTTGAATTAATTGAATGATAATGTTGAGTTACAATTATATAATGTCTATAGTTTAAACTAGACAATTTTAAATTCATACAGTCATCTTTATAAAACTAAGAGTTATTATATTGTTTAACCATATTGCATATACATTGAAATTGAGTGGATAAATTGATAGTGTACACATGTTTACTATACTTTTAGAGGTATTACCACTGCTAAATACCCTAGATTCTATAACGATTCATGAATTGCTTACTTGATTTTAAGGAGGAGTGATATATACCTTGAAATTAACTGACTAAACGAGGACATTACGTGTCAATTCATTGCATTGCAATGGTTGGCTAATAAATTAAAAGTGATATATACATAATCATAGATTTTGTTATCCCTACAACAATGTGATTCATGGATCTAAATATTATTATGTATTGATAACGCAATCGTATACATATAGTCTTTTCATTTATCCCAAAGTATAGGTTAAAAATTTATTTCTACGATAATTTTTGCCGTCTTCATAGTATCGATAAAAATCGACTATGTTTCTTGGTCTATACAATTTGGGGACTACAAATCTTACAGATAACAATTTATGGCATATTAATCTTTGATATAAATAAGTATATAGTCTAAGTGTAGTTTACATTTTGGATTCTACTTAGATCTAATTTCGATTTTACATAATTTGATTCATTAAAACATTCATTGATACCTAAAATTCATATATAGAACGTTGCCTAAGGCAGGGCATCTTCCAGTCACGCACTACCGCCTAGTTGCTCACTTACCTATAGTGGTTAACACAGTTGATGAGAAGAACACAGCTTGCAGTATGCTCCAGCGCTCATAGGGCTCTGGAAAGTCTTTATCGGCTACGATAAGCAGCCCGCCCTCGGCCGCCTGTTGTACGGCCTATTGAGAGAAGAGACATTTACAGTAAACCGATTAATGATGTATTTATGGCTTTGTTTTAATAGATATCTATATCGTTTAGGAGCTGCCTCATTAAAGTAAAATGAAAATAGTTAGAAATAGCTAATTTTTTTATTGTATTGCTGTAATTTCAAAAAAAAACCTTAAAATGGAAAAGAAACAAAGAATTGCCGTAAGTGCCTCTCCACGAATGTCTGACGTCAAGTGTGTCGTAGATATAAATGTGTCTTTACTGCTTACATATATTAACTATACTATTCTATACTATATACTATACTATACTATTCTAAACTATATACTATACTATACTATACTATATACTATACTATACTATACTATACTATACTATAATATAGTATAGCATATACTATATGCTATACTATATACTATACTATAATACTAGCACTACCATGACAAGAAAGACTATCCCTTCGATAATCTCATATTCTAAGCATACTACGCTTCATCATCATTCCAGACAGCAATGGAACGTGTTATTTAGTCGTTGAAGTCGTTGAGTTTCTGACTCTAAAACTGTAGAGCATATAGTTTTAATCGATTTGCCACGCCCCCCATAGCTGTAAATATATTCGCCAACACAAATATAGCTGCCAAATCGTAATTCTCTAACACTATAATTAATTACTGAGATGTCTATAATTTGCCACATTGATATTGTATAAGGGCCTATGTATGTCTGTTCCAAAGTTCGAGTCTTTCATATGAAGAAACGAGCAAACTCATTTAATTTTCGTAAATGAGTATAAAAAGTATATCGCTTATTATAGTCTGAGGGAAAGTTGCTTTCACAATTAATTTTTATAATTATACTATATAATAATACCTCAGCTTCACAATATTTTCGCTATTAAGAAACTATTAAATAATAAGAATCTTATTTTTTTAATAATAACAATAATAATAATAATTTTAATAATAATAATAATAACAACAATAATAATAACAATAATAATAATAATAATACATAAATTGCGATGCATCGCTAAGTTATGCCAAAAAGTATGCAACACATTTTGCATATTGTTTTTCCATTGTTTTTCCACTTACCGCTTCATATTTGGCCAGCTCAAAGGAGAGCAGCTCATTGAGATTGTTCACTTCGGTGTTGTTCAATATGGTGCTCATGAAGCGCTCCCGCTGCGTCTTGACCACGTCCTTCAGCTGGGTGAGGCGCGCCACCTCCGCGGGCCGCTCCAGATGGCGAAAGATCTGCGTCAACAATGTGAAAAATGGGTACTATTGCGAATTGAAAGTCTACGCTGCATTAGCATTTAATTAAAGTGCGCCGCATAATAAATGGCTGGCACCGCCGGACCGGGGACAGACGGCCACCGAGATGAGCGCCCTGGCGGCCCTGACGGGCATGCAGGCCATGGAAAAGGGGCGGGTCTACAGAAGTTGGGGGGGCGGGGGCTTTGATGGCATCACCAGGGCTATGACTGTGTGCTAAGCCAGCTATGTGCAATTTATTGGCATTTGATTGATGGCCAAGGCACTGTGCACACAGCGATTCCACTCGACGCTCTCTTTGCTGTTGCTGTTGCTGCTGCTGTTGTAATTATACCCTGTAACCATTTAATAGGCGCAATGAGCTCTCAACAGATCGAAATTGTCTTCTCCCCTTATATTTTCGAATGTTTAGTCTGATGATCGGCACCATTCATAAGAAAGTAGATCTCTTACAAGCACAACTAATAAGAAGAAATTTAGTATACGCCTTTCAGAAATTTGGCATGTTACAAATTGTAGATCTGACGATGCATCAATGAGATGAGATGATTTGCAGTAATTTCCAAGACTACGAAACATATACACTCTCAGATTAGACAGACTCGATGAGACCATAAAAACGGTATACAATTTGTGGTCCATCTATAGAGAAGGTACGTAATAGCGTGAGCTATGGAAAATATGGATAGTATATAAGTTTTGTATATAGTTTTTGTATCCCAATTTGAAGCAAATACATTTTGTTTATTGTGAAGGGCATTTTACATGGAAGAAACCCTATTACGATCTGAGCCACACTCAAGATTGAGGTACAGTGATCTATGCTACACTGACTGTCACTTCAGAAAGCAATGCAATTAATCAAAAATTCCCATCAGCTAGGAATATTTCTTTTCCAATATCTTTTCTCCTCTTATAATATATAAAATAACTCTGTTACCATAAAGCGAGAGTGCTTTAGTGGAGACTGTTCGACTACGAGATTCTTTGAACCTTTCGAAAAATTGGTATTCCAATAAGTATATATTTTCCTTCTGTTTTTTCTGCATACACAAGAAGAATAACACATACACTCATACTCAGGATACTTCAACATATAATAAAAATGGAAATTGTATAAAATACCCATGAATCTCTGGTTACATATACATAAATTATATATATATATGTATATAGATATA